TTCTCAGCTCGTAGTATGGATTAGCTCACTTAGTAATCCTCTCAGCAGGTCTGTGCGGGCATGGGAGTCAAGTTACTGTCCCCACGCTTATAGATGAAGAAGCTGGGGAACAGAGAGCCTAGAGAACTTGCCAGAGGTTTCATGACTAGTACCTGAAGTGCAAGCACTCCAGCTGCATAGTCTGCACCCCAAGTGCTCTGCTGCTGTCTTTGCAGCCGGACACTCTTCAGGCTTAGTGAGAGCGAGACCCAGGGGCCCCTCCAGGGCGGCCTGGCTGACCGCAGTAGAGCTCTGTGGTCATGGAAAAGTATGTCTGTTCGTGTTAAGTTGCCTTTATTTAATAAAATACCGGCTGCCTGGGTGGCTCAGTCGTTAAGCGTCTGCCTTCGGCGCAGGTCATGGTCCCAGGGCCCCGGGATTGAGCCCCACATTGGGCTCCCTGCTCAGCAGGAAGCCTGCCTCTCCCTCTCCCACTCCCCCTGCTTGTGTTCCTCTCTTGCTGTCTGTCAAATAAATAAAATCTTAAAAAAAAAACAAAACATTTACCTTGTGTGAAGTTCCTATCTTATAAAGACATTTTGACTCTGAATTTTATGTTTTGATAGCTTAATGTTGCTCATTGTTTAGGTCAATAGAATTTTAAAGGTTGCCAAACCCAACTTTGTGGTCATGAAGTTACTGGCAGGAGGACACAAAAAGGAATCTAAGGTAAGCGCATTGTGGGGAAAGTAAATGGGTGTTAAATTATTGTAGAACTTTTTAAAAAATAAGATGCACAAATATTACAAGAAGGTGAAACATTCAAAAATCATCCCTTTAAAAGAGGTTCAGGGGCGCCTGGGTGGCTGGGTCAGTTAAGCGGCTGCCTTCGGCTCAGGTCATGATCCTGGGATCGAGCCCCGCATCGGGCTCCCTGCTCGGCGGGAAGCCTGCTTCTCCCTCTCTCTCTCCCTCTGCCGCTCCTGCTGCTTGTGCCCTCTCTTTCTCTGCCTCTCTCTCTGTCAAATAAATAAATAAAATCTTTAAAAAAAAAATAAAAAGAGGTTCAGTGGCGGAAAGTAACTAGAGCTTACCATTTTGCTTTGAAACTTGAGATTTTATTGACTTAAAATTTCTAAAGTCTGCCCTTCCGTTCCCCTCCCTCCCTTGTGTAAATTACTGTGAATGAGTAAAAGAGTAAAACAGAAAATGTGTGAAAACAAATTTATTATGGGAGAGAGATTTAAAAAGTCATCTGCCTTTAGAAAAGTGAATGCTTCAGTAATTGAAGTCTTTGTTTAATGGCTCGAGAGATGGTAAATTCAGCTTCCCTTGCTGATGTTACATCAACATGTGCCTGCTGAGCATGGGCACACTACATGTACCTCTCGACTCCCATCGCGGCTTGCTATCTGCCTTCCTTATCTTCTGCCGTGCTTTACTAGACACGGTTTCATTGCTTAGTACTGTCCATGACCCAGGAACTAAAAAGTGTGCTGACCCACCACCCCTCCCTGTGATTTAAGTCCATTTGCCTTTGTTAACTGTTCTCTTTCATAAACCCAGAGATAAGTTTGTTGTTTTCCCTCCAGGTTAGTTCCTGTCGTCTTTGTCATTAAACCAGGTTTTGTTTTTTTTTTCCCTCTCGTGCTGCCTTACCTCTAAAATTGCGAGAAATTAAAATACTGTACTGTCTGAATATTTGTAGATACATTTGTTTACTTTCTGCCTTTCTTTACAGGTTCCTCCTGAATTTGATTTCTCTGCTCACAAATACTTTCCTGTTGTGAAACTTGTTTGAAAGACACTGAAAGGGGGGACATCAAGGGGCAGAATCTACTTTCAGATTCTAAGGGGATCCATCTGTCAGTCTCAGCACATAACATGAAGTGAAATGGATTTCTTGGATAACAGCCTATTATAAGAAATACTTTTAATTTGACAGCCTTATACGACGTGAATGAAAACTGCTGTTTTAAAGTGGTTTGTTATGTTCCATGGATGAAACTGGGCTTAATGCATTGATGAATGTTATATGGTTTTATTACAGATTTAATCATAAATCATTTTTTTATGAATGAGTGAAAATAGTGTTTGTAAAGGTTAATAAATTTCTTGACAAAAAATGCACTACTGGAAATGAAAAACAACAGCACTTTGTTGATGCATGTTAAGGACTGAAGGTGTTTACTCTTGAATAGTTCAAACAGATTCAAAAGAAGTTTCAAAAACGATCAAACATTTGGATGGGGTTTTGGTAAAATACATTTAAAAGGGACTATGCGGGGTGGGGGGAACCTCTAAACTATCTAGGGAGACTAAATTACATGGGGATTGTGATTTTGTGTGTCATGATGTCTTAAATTATATACCTATAAGAATATAGAGGTTTTTTAAAAAACATCCTTTAACTGTTCCTTTTGGCACCTTTAAAACATGCAAAATGTTTGCTAGTGACATTATTCAAGAGGTAGGAATGCGTAGATTGTTAATTTTTAGCGTTAGGTTTCAGTGTGGCATACTTTTTGTTCACTGCTAAATATTCAGTTTAACCCACGCAGTGTTTTCAAGTGGGGATCTTTCCAGTATCTGCTGCCTTTGAAAACAGACTTAAATCTACCTGTACCCTGTAAGTAAGTGCCCAGCACCAGAGGCCCTGCCCTTCCTTTGCTGCCCATTCCTCTTCCTGGCTCATGCTGCCGTGGATTTTTATTCTACTTTGGATGGTATCATTTTATTCTAAGCAGTAAAGATAGGAAAACAAGCATTTGTTTCAACTGGCTAGGGCCTTGGTTTATAAAACATATGTGAAGTTTATGCATAAATTTAAAGAAAATATTTCAAGTCCTTTAACTTTCCCAGAGATGTGTTTCACAGGCACACCAACAAGGATGGAAGCATTTATACTTTAGCTTTTTCAAAAGTGCATGTGATGATACCAACTTTGAGTAATCCTTCAATCTATATCAATTTTATAAGCCAGTTTTTAAGGGAGAGTGGCTTTGTACACAAACATTTAAATACACAAACTATTTCCCCAACTCTGACACTAACGAACATTTTCAAAATCTAACAGTGTGGGAAAAAAAAAAACCTACAATTCATGGAATCTTTTTGTATTTTTTGTAAAATTCAGAGACAAGGATTAGAAGTTGTGAGTGTTCTATAAACTATTATTTATAGTAATCTCTCTCTTGGAGTAGACCAAGCCCTTGGACCTTAAAGGCTCCTGAATTCACACTTGTCTTACACCACTCTAGGTTCTGCTAAGAATAGCTAACCAACTACACCAATTAAAACAATCATGCCAGTTAGTTACCGATCTAGTTATTTATTTAATGACTGCACACTGACTTAACGGGTATTGGTTTATTTGTCAAATTCCATCACACAAAAGTACATTATGTGCAGTACTTTCATTACTCAAGAAATCTGAGTATTGCGCAGGGAATCTGCAGTCCCATCTGCAGAAGGAAAGGTGGGTCTTCACATTCCTGTCTACATACCATTTGAGAAAACAGAGGAAGGTGTAAATTAAATAGTTCACACCTATTAAAAATTGGAATAGCTGCTAATTTTGGATGAAACCAGAAGACCAAAGTGGGGGGTTTGCCATCTACTTACGTATTACACAGGTTTTTGTTTTGCTTTAAAAAAAAAAAAAACTGCCATGACACCGCTATAAATGGTTGCCTATGTGATGTCAAGGTAAGCCAGTGGTAAGAAAGCATGACTGGAGCGATTACTCACAGTACACACCTCCTGAATGAATGGCCTTTGGTGCCTCTACATGAAGATGGAAACAGTGTGGTCATTTTTTATTTATATTGACATCCCATCTCAGTCCGCAAAAGGGTTAAGGCAAACCACCATTCTTAATCTATAATTTGCAAGCTGATTCTTCAGGAATCCAATAGGGCAGTAAAGGAAAACAAAGCAGCTGAACTATAAGTCTTGTTTCTTAGAACTCTATGCACACTGATTAAACATGGATTGAATAGATGTTTTATTGAAAAGGCAAGAGAGATTATCAACCCTAAGGCTAAGACAGAGAGGTTGGACAAGGGCTTAGATAAAATCTTACAAAGCTATTTTTAACACCCTTCTTTAGTTGCCTTTTCCAGGTAGAAAAGTTTAATCCTAGCAATTAAGTAAAAAGGTACCTACACGAGTAACATTCACATTGGAGATCTTAACCTGAATGCAAACCAGGTCCTGCCTTCAGTGCCAGCCAGGGGCACCATGAGTCCAGACCAGGTGAGGGGCCAGGCATCCAGCTCACCAGCTGTCCGGCCTGCGTAGTTCTTTAACTTTTCTGGACCCCCGGTTCCTCTCAAGTTGAGGGGTTATACCAGGTGACCTGAGGCTCCTGCATCTCAAATCCTCTGACTTGTATTTAATAAGTATCACTACCCACTTACCCTTAAGACCTGAGAGTCATTAGTGTGACTTTGCCAGTCATTCCTAAGTGGCAAAAGCCTATTTAATGGAAATACAGAGAAGCAACTCAACATGAATTATGATTAGTCCTTTTCAAATTAACATTGATTTTTAAATCACTTTTGATAGTCATTTACCACAAGCCAAACATACAGACTATGGCAAAAACAACTGTTAATTTCTCTTGCCTTTCTAAACTTTCCCCCTGTGTAACACTATATACTCTTAACATCAACTTCCTCTCCTTTTCCTGTAATGGTGCAGTGGGCAGTCCACAGCAAACATGCCCCCACAGTGCTGTGCTGCCCCCCTCGCCCCATGCTCTGCTACAGGCCCCAGGGTCAGCTCTGGTTTGGCCCCTGTTGTGTCAAAAGTCTAATCCACTCATGGCTCTTGGTAATAGGGACTTAATACAGAAGATTTTGCTTTGCCCGCACATACTAAGCAAAGTAAAAATAGATCACAAATGTTCAAATTACAAGTCACTTAGAAGCATTTTTGTACGTTAATGACAAAGGTTATATAAGTTTTTTAAAAAATTCTCACATAAAATGTCTTTGTATATAGACTTGTTCAAAACTGTTGCTAGTGATGTTTGTGTTAACAGTTTTGTACTCCAGGCCACTGACTGTCGGAACCAGAAGTGAGCACATGAGAGTATAAGCCAGGAATCGTTGGGCACTGACCTGTGAGAACAAATATCGGGCTGGTACCAGCCACTCAGCACAGCGTGTGAAGCGGGACACCAGAGGGACCAGAGAAGAATTTTCAGGTGCGGTGGGTCTCTTGGTGTCAGAAGACAGACTCTTCTACAGGCTTTGATTTTTTTTTAAACAAAGTTACATTCCAGAATTTTTTAAGTGCCACTGTCACCATACTTGGAGAACTTGGGTTCTGTTTTTGATGTTGATCTTCTCATACCTGACAAATTCTGACACCTTAGTATAAATACTTCTAAAAAACCATCTACAACACAATCATTTTCCTACATAAAGTACATGTTAAAACTCCACAATAATCATCTTTAGATGTATATTTTACTTAGTACATTTCACAGTATTCAACCCCTCATAAATACTTTGTAGTGATCTCTGTTCATTCCTGACATGAAGTATGTAATTCCAGTTGATTCAGAGTGTGTGATTCCTCTTTTCACGCTGATCAAGTAAATTTATGTCTCCTTTCTGATTTTCAGCATTAAGAACTAAAAAAGAAAAAAAATAAAAACCATAATCTAACATTAAAACATGTAGGGGAAACCAACCAGGCAGGTTCTATTTGACCTAAGTATCGAGAGACTGCCTCAAGAGGACAATATCTCCCTCAGCAACATAATGGGGGATTGCATTCCTAATCAAGGACAAGACAGTGAAGAGACTACATGTATGGCCAACATGGTGCCATGAAATAAAGCTAAAACATATAAAAACTTCCTATTTAAAATACTGAAATAATGCCCCATGTCCTCTAAAGTGGACAATATAAAATATAAGATTTGTGATACAACCACAGCTCTTCTGTGCTCCATGCATCCCTGTTGGTATCCCTCCAACAGGAAACAGAATGCCCTAAGAGCTACCTGCAGCTTCAGTCAGCTCTTACTACTCCAAAGCTTCTCCTTTACGGAGCTGAAGTCTGTATGTGGCTCCCATCATCCTCACTCTCCTTTGACACACAAAGGACATACAAAGACCTCACAAAACCTAAAACCACCATGCTGATTTACAACTACGACACATTAAATGGTTAATGATTTTATTAAATGAATTAAATGACTGCCTTAATATTGTCTTTTAAAAAGTTCTCTAATAAAGTTGGAACTAATGCCTTTTTCTTCTGATTTCCCTGGAGCAAGCAGGGAGGGTCTTAAACTATTTTAATGATAGAATGTTAAAATGATGGTGATGACAGTTCTTGAAACTGTTAAAGCTTAGAGAGCATTTTTCTTTGCCTGAAGCCTTGTACAAGGTCAAATTCATGGGACACCTGTGTGTAGGGGATGAAAGATCTCAGGGCTCTACTGCAAAGCCAAACATTTAGGACACTAGACTGATTTGAAAGGACAGTAAAAGAGATGTTAAGACAGTAACCATACCAGCAAATAGTCAAGGACTGAGGTACAAAAATGAGTGGACTCGATGACAGGAACAGAAAAAGAGACTTTGTATTTAAAATTCTGACTTGATAATATGTTCGTGTTTTAAGTATAGTCTAAGAAAATAATTTAAAAATCAAGTTAGAACATTTTCTAGAAACCTCAGACAACTCTGCCAACTGTAATAACTGACATGCTAGATGAAATATGAAAAGATATTTTAAAGAACACACTGTTGAATCAAACCCAAGCTGAGAGACTTTCTACCAAATAACTGGCCAGAACACTTAAAAACTATCAACGTCATAAGATAAAAACAGATGGTTTTGGGTTAAAGGACCGTAGGGAGGTGTGACAATAAATGCAGTATATAATCCTGGATTATTATATATTGGACCAGAAAAGGGATATTAAGTTGGACAGTTCACTAAATTTGAGTAATAACATTTTATCAATACTAATGTCATTTCAATAACTGTACTATGGTTATATAAGATATTAATATTTGGGGAACCTGGGTGAGAGGTATATGGAAATTCTATTTTAAATTAAAATCAGTTATTTTCAAATTGAAAAGTTAAAAATTTTAAAGTAAGACACTAAAATGCACTGTCTGTAATGGCAATAGAAGAATGAATCTGTGAGGCCAAACGTGGAGTGAAAAGTTCCAACTCCTGAAGGTAATAAACATCAAAGCTAGCTCTGCCCTGAGGACTTCTGAAGCCTGAAGACACCGGGCTTCTCCCTTTACAGCTTCCAAAGATGAGGGCTCCACTCCAGAAGGGGACTCCTAGATAGAGCTGAAACTCCCAAAGGATTGTGTCCTTGGATTAAAGGTAATGGAGAATAAGTCTGCAGTGAAGATGGGATAGCAAGAAACCCTAGTGGTTAGACCGGGGAGGAGGACTTCTTAACTATATGAGATGACCATGCAAGTATACAGTTAGAACTCACATTTCCTGTGTGATCCAAAAAATATCCGAAGAGAATTTACGTTATTAAAGAGGTGGTGATTTTGTAGTGCCCTTCTTGAGACTGATAGAGGCAAACAACGTCTAGTGCAGTACTGCTCTAACTCAGGCCCCAGAGGCTTCCTACAGATAAAAGTTCCCAGGAAACTAGTAGCTCACAGTTAAAAGCACAAAACACAAGGAAAGAAGGGATCCTAAGGACAGTCTGATAAAAGAAATACCCACAAGGTTTTCAGATACTGCAGCTGGAAGATAAAAGTCTGATACATTTAAAGAAATAAAAGATGTTTGTAAACATGAGCAAAGAATAAAGTTTAGAAATAAATTAAAAAGAACAGATAAGGCATAGCTGAAGGAAAAATTGGTGAACTCGAAGCTATGTCTGAGGAAATTCTGAATGTAGATCAGGGAAGCAGAAATGGGTAATATGAAAAAAAGGGTAAGAGACATGAATAGAATGGTAAGATCTAACATTTCTGATCTGAGTTTAAGAAGGAATCAAAATGGGAAGAAGCATTATTCAAAGATATCTTGACTGAAATCTTCCAGAAGTAGCCTTGTCAGATATTTAAAAAAAAAAAAAAAAGCGGGGGGAGGTGGAGCTGTTAGAACAGTGTGGTATAGTGTGAGTCAGCAGAGAAATCAATGGCACAGAAAGTCTGAAAAGTAGACCTGAATACATACAGAAATCTATTTGGTAAAGGTGGCACCTCAAATCAGTGGCTTTGAGCTGGTGTTTGGCCAATTAGACAGCCCTTAGGAACAAGAAAATTGGACCCAACCTTGTGCCACACTACCTGAATACATTTGAAATTAGTTATGAATTAGAGATCTAAATGTAAAATATAAAAACATGATGATGATCCTGGAAAAATGGTGACAACAGTGGCATAGTTTCCTATATAAAGTGACTACCCTGAAAAACTCAAATCAGACATTTACAAGAGTAGATGGCAAGGAATCCTGCAGACCCCAAAATACAAGCAGAGACAAAGACAATGGCCAGTGCCTGTACGCTAACACTGTCTAGAAAGAAAACAGGAGCAATGGAGCACCTGATGGACCTGAGAACAGAAGAGGATAACCCCAAACAACCAAAAGATTTACACCCGAAAGTACCTGGGCCCATGGACAAACTGCAACTGGAAAGCAGGAGACTCTCTGCTACTCCCGCAGCAGGTGACCACAAAGTAGCTATGGTAAGGATTGAGGGGCCAGGGGAGGCTTAGCCCCATGAACTTCTGAAATGCATTTACCAGGACTCCTTTCTGGGGCTCCTTCCTGGGTAGAGCCCCATGGGGGTAGGGGGGCGGAGAACAGCTGAGTGTGGAGGAGAGCCGTGGCTAAGCAGGACAGGAACAAAAGACAAAGGACCTGAAGGTTCAGATTAAAGTGGGGAAGGTCCCACTGGCCAAAGAAGATGGGACAACCTGAACTTCAAAAACGGTAATAAATACAATTGAACGAAACCCATCAAATAGGTTTAAATCCACTGAGTTTGTATTTTAAATATCACCCTCAGAGGATGACAGGGAAATAATTCATTATTTTGAAAATGGGTAAATAAAAAGAATCAAGCATTTTTATCCTATATTATAGGACTAAAACCACTGACTTACCTATTTATAAAAATATCCGTTAACCAATGGAATAGAAAAAGCTGAATTAGAATACCATGAATGAATTAATGAAGGTACTGAACAACAACTGCTACTTATATCACAAAAAGAAAGGTGTTCCTTGCCTCCTGATGAAAGAACACACCACTGCCTCCCACTTTACCAAGGGCTTGAGCCCAAACCTGAACCAAGTCTCTGGATATCAGCTGCCAATATTTGGGAAATAGGAAAGAAGAACATACTAAACAGCACTATGAATGTACAATCAGCACTATACGGACTGTGGAAAACTCCAGGGCAAATGGAGGAAAGGAATGGAGGGGAAACCTGTAGACTAAGAGACATTTAAAGAGCTATCAATTTTAAGAAAATGGGCAAAACTAAACTGGTGTCCAGGGATGCCCACTTGAGTGATAAGCCCATAAATAAATGCAAGAAAATGCCTATTAGAAAGGTCAGGATAGGGGGCGCTATTATGGGGAGAGACCGGCCTCTGGAGGGCTGGTAAGGTTCTAGTCCTTGAGGTGGGTGGGGACACAGTTACAAGGTATTTACCTTCTAAAGACATTTGTGTGCTTTTCTGAATTTGTGTTTTAACTTTTTAATAGAACTAAAAGAAAAATGTGAAAGCGTAAACACACAGATGAATTCCTTCCAACACTAGATGGGAAAACTTGCTATGACTCAATATCCAGAGGCAATAAAAGACAAGACATAAAAGTTTTGAAACATTCACATGGCAAAAAACACCATACATAAAACCAAAACACAAACTGGGAAGAAGTATTTGCAACTTACACCACAGATAAAGGGCAATCTCCCTAGCATATAAAGAGCTCTTAACAACTAGGAAAGGAAACACTAAGAATCTGATAGAAAAGTGAATTTTGAAAAAAGGGAACCATGAAACCACATGATACTACAACAAGATATGTGGCAGGGTGACAGCATTAGAAAAGTCACCATCAGACAAGGGTTTTCAATGGACGCTAAAGCCACACCATTTCAAAGCATCCCCTTCTACATGACTTCTCAGTTACAAAGGGAAAATGGCCCTTTGTGATGGAGAGACCCGGCGGGCAGTGCCTTAACCAAGCCATCAACCTGCCAGGGCCTGCCTCCTGGTGGGAAGCAAGAAGAGCACACTGCAGCTGCAAATATCAGCCAACCTGAGTCCAATCACAAGCAAATGGACAAATCCAGAATCTGATACATCCCACTGGCCCAGACCCTTCAAAATTCAAAATGATACAAAATGCTACTATAAGAAGCTGCTTGGAAGTATTGTGTAGATGTTAGGGCTTTTTGATTGCTGATACAGAGTGATCAAGTGGTGACCTAGCCATCTGTTGGGAAATCCCGTGCTCGCTTCGGCAGCACATATACTAGAAATGGGAAATCCCTAAATGTCATGAAGACAAATCCTCCAGCCAACACCTGAGGGCTGGAGCCCCCTAAACACACAGACCTTCTGAAAGGTCTTCACCTTGGACTTCTCAACCTTCCCCTCCCTCCATGGCCCCATGTTCAAAGGCTTCTGGATTGGATGGATTATTTACAACATTAGTGCTGGGATTGTTTAGTCACTGCCAAAGTGAAGGACCACAATGTGAAATTCAAGGCAGGCCCACCGCCTCGGCACACCTCTTACCGTTCAGGTTTCTGTCGTTTCCTGCAAGGGCTGCCTGCTTATCTGTTTCCGATTCTGCCTCATTTTCATCCATGTTGTAGTCCTCCTCTCCTCCCAGCTTTTGCTGGTGTCTTCCTGTAAAGTGAACACAGGCACAGAGAGCACAACCCACATGACTGTGGAGGCCGCAGGGGCACCAGAGCCCAGGAACCGGGGTTTCTCCCGGTCATGGCTCAACAATCAGGTCCTCTTGCGACCTCTGGGAGAATGGCGGGCACTTGCGTGCCTGCGCCAGTACGAACAGCAGGTGCAAGTTCTCCACTTCCCTAGCACCCCCGCTTCAACGGAGTCCATGGAAACCGTGGCCCTCGACACAGGGCTGTATTCTGGGCTGAAACTAGGGAAATGAGCTAATTAACCCCAAATCCTGGGTGGTGGTTTTTTGTTTTTGTTTTTTTTTTAAAGACTATCAACTCGAGGTTAAAGGAAGGCACTGCTGTTGCTGGAAACAACAGGTTTCTAGTTAATGACAGCACCTCCTCGGAATGGCTTGTGGCTCTGACAGAAGCAAATGGAGAGGCTACTGGGTGCCGAAGGATTTTCCATCATCCCTACATAATTAGGGATCATGCATCACCACATTCAGCCCTGCAGAGAACCACCACCACAAAAGATCAGGACAAAAGGCGTTCAAGAGACATACTATATTCATAGGCTTTCCTGTGAATGTCTTATATACACATACAGGTAGGTAAACAAAATCTTTTTTTAAAACGCGGGTCTGGGAGAGTTGGCTCTAGTTACATCCCCCTGCACTCACTGCCTGAAGTGGAGGCAAAGCCCACACCTTTGGGCCCTGCCGCTTTATTTGACAGCTGCACCAGGATGACGTGTATCCTGCAGGACCTCAAGCCAATCCTCAGATATTACCCTCTGTGGCCAGTCTGAAACCTGAGTGCCACTGGATTGGCCACCAGAGTTCCTTCTTTTTAATTCTTTAACTGAAACCTTGTGAGAGCACAGTCTTCAGAAAGAGAAACTCAAGTGCAAACGAGATCTAGAAACAGGGTGATTTCCACAAATTGGCACATTCCCCCACTCTTGTTAGTGGCTCGTCCCAGAGCACAGGCATCTTCCCTTCACAGGTGTTCCTGGCTCAGCTGGGAGTGACGTCTTCCACAGCTTTTAGGGACCCAAATACATCCCAGAATACTGTGTTGATCTCAGTTTCCCCACTTTCCTCTATCTTAAAAAAAAAAAAAAAAAAAGTCCACCAAACCAGATAAGATTCACAGGTCACTTTGCTGCCATGCTCAAATATGCATGAAACCCCATCTACCCAATTCCATTCACTGGGCACTGGTGGTGACACCACGTGTGGGTGCAAATGCAGACACAGAGGCAGGACACAGGGTCCAGTGTGGGGGCTACGTTCACTTGATGCTAAGCGCCCACCTCAAGGCCTTCCACCTGAAAGCACCCCCCCAAACACTGCAGACTCCCTGTGAATATTAATTGACAAATCCAAATGCTGGTGAGCACACTGCTCTTCCCTCCTGCCTCCTACATGGTAAGAGACCCAACGAACCAGAAGAACTACCAAATCGCAAACGGGCTTTCACAGGGGCCCTTCCAGCGTCAGACGAAGAGCAGTGGAAAGGAATCAGACAGTCCATTGGATCAGCTCACCCACCTTCCTCATCAGTACCCTGCTCCTCTTCCTGCCCATCGGGGATGACAAGCTGGTCCCGCTCCAGGTCCTCCGTGTCCTGATTTTCTTGGCTTGCCAGCATCACTCCTGGCACCTGTGGCGTTTGGCCGACTGCTTTAGCTTCTCCAATGCCTCTTCCACCCACGGGTCTGTCTTCCTCCACAGCCTGCTCTCGGCGTGGCTCCTGGGGCAGCCCCAGGCTGTCCCTCGGAAGCTCCTCACTGGCGACCTGAATCTCATTGGTTTCCTCTGTACAGAGAACACAGTTAGCTGTGACCTCACTAACATTTAGTTTAAAACAAAAACAGGGCACCTGGGTGGCTCAGTTGGTTAAGCGACTGCCTTCGGCTCGGGTCATGATCCCGGGGTCCTGGGATCGAGTCCTTCATCGGGCTTCCCCTGCTCTGTGGGGAGACTGCTTCTCCCTCTGCCTCTGCCTGCCACTCCCCCTGCTTGGTGCTCTCTCTCTCTCTGTGTCAAATAAATAGAATCTTTAAAAAAAAAAAAAAAATCAAAAAAATAAAACAAAAACAAACCCCCCCATACCACTCAATTCCCAGAGTCTTCCCAAGGGCTGGATGGGGAGCAACTGGGTAACTTATTCTGTGACTGCAAAGACTGCAGGCTTCTCTATACCTGCAGCTCATCTTCAGAACCATAAGAGAGAAGTGGTTTAGGAAAAAAGTCTGGACAAGTTCTGATTTCAGTGACAACCTATCAGCTGAACAGGCAGCTGTATGTCTGGACAAGTACTTGGGTGCAGGGCCTGCCAGTCTACCAAGGACTCACTCCCCAGAGACACAGCAGCCCCCATTCCCGGGACGGCTGCCCAGGTCTCAACCATCTCCCCTATCACACAGTCCCAGTGATGTCCTCAGTAAGGCACAGCCCGGACCTTTACACAGCTGCCAAAGAACAAGGCACTCGCTTTACAAGGATGACAGTAAGACAAGGAAAGCCCTAGGGCCCCAATTCCAGGTCCCCAGAGAGACCTTCACCTGCCTCTGGCAGCCCAAACCCAGCTCACCAATTGCCTCCCACAAGGATACTCTGTCGTGAGGCCATGTGCAAAGATGTTGGACACAAACCGCCACCATGTTTATTTTGGAGAGAGCTTAAATGTTTAATTACCAAGCTTCACTTACTTTTCTCACCTTGTCTCTTCAAAGCCAAAGCTGCCTCAGAACTGGGGGCTGGTGTGTGGGGCTCACCATTGCTGGGCATGTTTCCTTTCACTTGAGGCACCTCTGCCTGGGGCAGGTCCGCTTCCTGTGGCCTGGGCTGAGGCTCACTGGGGGCTCGGAGCTGAAACAGGATCACGTGACAGCCAAGGCTCTATGACTTTACACCTCACAACAAACCCAAGCAATGCAATGGACATCCTTCTGACAAAACACCAAAACCCTGAGAAATGCCATGATCTATCCCAATTGTACCATACCATCTAGCATAAATCCAAAGCTCTGATGTTACGATCTCCCAGAAAGTACTTTCAGTAACGGATTAACAAGTAGGTTTCTAATGGTCTGATCAACAAGGACAAGGGTACCCTGAATGATAAACCAGACCAGGCTGACTTCTATAAAACACTGACCCAACAAGAGCAAAACACATTCTTCAAGTGCACATGGAACATTCCCCAGGACAGATGTTAGGCAATGAAAGAAGCCTTAACAAATTTGAAATAATTGGAGAACATACTTTGTATGATGTCAATCACTATGGAATGAGATTATCAGTGACAATAAAATTTGAGAAATTCACGAACATGGAAATTAGACAACATACTCCTAAATTAAACCAATGGGTCAAAGAAATCGCAAGGCAAATAAGAGAGTATCTTGAGAAAAAACAAATACATGACATACCAAACTTATGGGAAGCTGTTAAAGCAGTGCTTAGGGGGAAATTTGCAGGTCTTTATTAAGAAAAAAGAAAGATCTCAAATCAGTAACCTAATCTTCTACCTTCAGATACTGGAAAAAGAAGAGCAAACGGAACCTAAGAAGGACATAATAAAGGTTGGAATAGGAATTAATCGAATAAAGAATAGAAAAACAATAGAGAACATCAATGAAATCAAAGTTCTTTGAAAAGTTGAACAAAATTGGCAAAACCTTTAGCTAGATTAACCAAGAAAAAGAGAAAAATTACTAAAAAAATAAGATGGGATAACAATACTGAACTTACACAAATAAGAATATTAAAAATGAACACCATGCATAACTGTATGTCAACTTTGATGACTTAGAGGACATTAGGCAAGTTCCTAGAACAATACAAGCTACCAAAATGACCTCAAGAAATAGAAAATGTGAGAGGCACCTGGGTGGCTCAGTCGGTTGTGTCTGACTCTTGGTTTCGGCTCAGATTATGATCTCATGGGCCGTGAGATCAAGCCCCACGTTGGGCTCCGCACTCAGCCAGGAGTGTACTTGAAGATTCTCTCCCTCTGCCTCTGCACCGTCTCCCTCAGTCTCAGATGAATTTTTTTTAAAAACAGAAAATGTGAATAGACTTAAAACAAGGGATTGAATTAGTAATTTAAAAACCTCCCCCAAAGAAAAGCCCAAGCCCAGATTGTTCCCTGCATATTTTCAGACCACAATGCTTTGAAACTAGAACTCAATCACAAGAGGAAAGTCGGAAAGAACTCAAATACATGGAGGCTAAAG